ATGGTTGTATATTGTACAGTAGATCACAGAAAAACTAAGTCATCTATCTTTATATTTTTCTGAAAAAAATCAAATTTTTTATAATTGTGCCGCCTTATTCTGATGTAGGACTGGAGACTATGAAAGAAAAATCATAATCATGATAATTTTGGTCAATATTGTAATCATTGTACTTATTTCATGATTTTTTTAAAGGGTTATAAGGTTATAAGATTATATAAAACAGCCACAAGACTATGAGACTTTTGATTGATTTATTTAAAGGGCACCTATGATGAAAAATCTACCTTTCAAGTTGTTTGGACAGACATATGTGCAAGTATAGTGTATAGACCGTCATATTGAGGTGATATAAAAACACCCAGTCCTTTTTTTCAAAATAACAACATGAAAATAGAGGACCAATTGGAGCGGTTTTCAGACCGACCGCAACTTGACGTAGGAGTGTGGTCCCCCTACCCACTGAATTGATTGACAGCTGTGTATTAACATGTCACGGTAGTCGCATGTAAAATCATATCAACATGACTGGACGTGCACAAAAGCAACCAGGAATAAAAGGTCTGTTCAGTTTGCTAGGATCATCAATCATCATCAAACGTGATCAAGAGTAAGTTTCACGTTTAAAATGTTTTAAAACAGTGCATGTGTGTAATGAAGTACAGCGATTTACTTTAGCTTTACTTCATCAGCACAGCCGCGGATGAGAACAATTATAAAGGAAGATGCTTCAATCCCAGTTTGTAGACATTAAATCAATTTTATTTTGTACATTAACATAACATATCCATACAGCAGTGCAGATTAACCTGTATACAGTCACATTTGCATGCAAAAAGAGTGCAAAGTTAAACGCGCGTGCTCTGTCTGTCTGTGTGTGTGTGTGTGTGTGTGTGTGTGTGTGTGTGCGCCAGTGCTGTGTATCTGTGTGTGTGCGTGCGTGAATTTTGTAACAACATTGTGTGTGACTCATCGATGCAACTCCACAACAAATACTCATGTAACTCAAGTTCTTACTGAAGTATTTCTCACAAACGCTACGTGAGATCTTCCTTTAAGTCTGTCTGTTGTCTGACGCAGGCGAGGGAGGAGATTAAGGCACGCAGAAAGGCAAAGAAAAGCATGAGCAAAAAGATTTTATATGTTGTGAATATCACAAGTTTTGTTTTGTGTTTTTAAAAACATTACTAAATCCTTTACACCTATAAATGAAGCACAGCAAAACGTACATACACAAATTTACTCCACGTGAAATTGGGCTTTGCAGAGGAACAAACGCAGACTCCCAGAAAGAAAGAGAAATTTGATGCTAAGGTAATTTCATCTCGATAATTGGGGTTTTTTTGTAATCATTGGACATTAAAAATCTAAATCTAATTTTGATCCCTGCTCTGATGTGCTTCATTGTACTATGTATGGCCAAATATATTAAAGGGATAGATCACCCAAACATGTTTATTTACTCAGCGTTTTACTCACCCTCAAGTGGTTCCAAACCTTTATGGGTTTATTTATTTTGCTGAACACAGAAGAAGATATTTTGAAGAAAGCTGAAAACCTGAAAACAGACTTCTATTGTATGAAAAACAAACACTAAGGGACTCAGTGGTTACAGCTTTTTTCAAAATATCGTCTTTTGTGTTCAACAGAGGAAAGAAACGTAAATAGGTTTGGAATAATTATGGGTAAGTAAGCAAATCAGTTTTAGGTGAACTATCCCTTTAAGGCATTTTATCATAATAGAAATAAAAATATACATTTAGTTGTCCAGAGAATAAACACAAGTAATGGATGTTTTGAACAGCAGAATTTGCATTTTAGGTGAACTGTCCCTTTAAGAGGGGTAGATCATCGCCTAAGGCAGAAAACACTAGATTTACATACATATTTTGAGCTTAACACCTCCCTTGAACACTCGCCAACAGTCATCCAAACTAACAAAATTCAAGACAACCATTACAATCCAAGAACTATACTGCAGCACTATAAACACACGTTAGGGACACAGTATTGTGGCTTACAGGATCCATGTGAAGGCCAACAGCGTGGGGATTTTCAGATGAGGAGTGTGGGGATTTGAGCTTAACCTACACTGATCTTACACACTGAGCTCACGACACACAAGCTCTGAACTCAGACAAGATGAAAGAACAGAATCAATTATCAAATGAAGCCAAACCTTCATGACTTCACAGTGAGCTTGTGTTCTTCAAGGATATAAGGGAGATTAATTGTAATGTGAAATGATGAATTTGTGAAAAGTATTGCATGCAGACGATTATGTAGGAATAACAAAAATATAAATATACATCTGCAAACATGTTTAAAAAAAAAGTATTATTTACTCCAATTATTTGTAAAAAAAAAACGCTAAGCATTTGCGCACGAATGGCCTGTAGTTAAATTTTCGTGTTTTGGTTGCCAATTCTTGTTCCTGCCTTTAGACTGAAGTCATTATAATGCACATGTGCATAAAAAAACATATCAATCAATCAATCAATCAATCAATCAATCTATCTATCTATCTATCTATCTATCTATCTATCTATCTATCTATCTATCTATCTATCTATCTATCTATCTATCTATCTATCTATCTATCTATCCAAACACTTTCAGTTGCAAACAAAATGTCAACTTTAAAATGTGTTGTTCCAAATTGTGTTTTCAGGCTTCTAAACCACTTTTGTGTACAATATGTTGTTTTAAGGTAAAAACAAATTAAAGTAAAAACAAACCAACCAATCAACAAAATGTCACATTATAAAATAACGATAACACCTAAAAGATTTGCATAGGATTTTCATGGCCAGGGGAAAAGCAAATGTTGTGTTTTGAATTGCATTTAGAACAGCAAAAATACATGTAAGAATTTGCTTACCCAGAGGCCCTTGCAGTTTGGCTTTCTTAACTGAAAGAAAAACAACAGAGAAATTGGTTAGAAAGAAAGAATAATGGCAGTATTATTGCATGGGTTTCATAATGTACAACGCATGTGTTAAAGTTCAAACACTATAAAAAAAAAAAAAAAGATTCACCATAATCCTTTTTTGTTACGCTAACCTTTCTATGAATTACAGAAGGACTGAGACATTTCTAAAAAAAATATTAATTCATGTTTTAAAGATAAAGAAAAATCATAGGGTGGACAAGATATGCTTTTTGTACTTTCTTTAGTTGGTTTTCTTGCTGTATAAAGAGATAGCTCACCCCAAAAAATATTTTTCTTTCATTAATTACTCACCCTTACATCCTACCAAACCTCTAAGACCTATATTCATCTTTAGAACACAAATGAAGACAACATCAAGGGTCCTGAAACTCCATGCAATCAGTGGTTCAATCATAATTTTCTGAAGTTACAATAATACTTCTGTGCACAACATAACAAAAATAATGATTGTGAAGAGAAGAAAGTGTTTAATAAAATCGTTATTTATGGTTCTGTGTGCACAACTGAAGATAAATATTCTGTTTTGATGGTGTACCTGGTTTCTTTCAGGACCCTTGCTGTCCATAGAGGACCAAAGAGCTCTTGTATTTCATAAAAATATCCTAATTTGTATAAACATGAACAAAACTATTGTGAGTCTGGAATGACAAGAGTTATCAAAAGGGATAGTTCATCAAAAATTTCTCACTATTTACTCTCCCTCATGTGGTTCCAAATCTTTAAGACTTTTTTTCTGTTGAAAACAAAATACAATATTTAAAAAAGTAGGAAAAACAAATACTATGAAATTCAATGACTACCAGTACAACATTCTTCAAAATATCTTATTTTGCGTTCAACATAATAAAGAAACTCAAAAATTTCAAAAGGTTTGAAATAAGTGGGAGCTGGGTAATTGATGGCAGGATTTTTATTTCTGAGTAAATTATCCCTTTAAATGGCAGAATTTTTAGGTGAACTATGGCTTTAAGAATTCAATCGAAGTCAATCCAAAAAGTGTTATTCTTTATTTTGGTAACCACCATTTCTGAAACCCCTTTAATGGCACAACTGTAGTCCTGAGTTTAATATGGGAAAATATATAATCACAATATCCCCCATTTTAAATAATTCAATCATTGTTTATTGTTGTATTTTAGTTTAGTTTTTTATATAAATCAGACCAGAACGTTAAAAGATTTTAAACGTATTAAGAATTTGCTTAAGAAAAAGTTATCTCGCACTAACCTACAAGGAGTTTTTTCACATATTTTACTGATTGGATGGATGGCTCAAATATATCCAATTCCATGTTAAAATGTGAATACTTTCTAGCTAAACAAATAGAAATAGGCGGCACGGTAGCTCAGTGGTAAGTACTGCCACCACCAAACGGAAACCTCCCGCTCTCCCTCGGGAGGCTAATACGGAAGTAACTGAAACTGCAATTCATAAAAAATCGGCTAGTCCTGGCTCCATAATAGAGCAAAATTCAATTAAGCCCACTGTTAGAATGGCCAACTTTACAGCAGAAAAAAGGTGTTTACAGCCTGGTACAAAAAACGATTTTGTTTCATAAAGCTAATATTACCCTTGATGACCAATGTGAGGGGGTTATTTATATTAGGTTATATCAAGTTTGCATAAATAAGGGCACGGCCACTTGATTGACAGCTAGGTCTCGCTGTCGCCATCACTTCACCTCAGCTGACAATTAGCCACTGATTTCGGCATATTCATCAACGTATTTGTTTTATGTGGCTTTACACAGTCAGTTGCCTTTTGGGATTATTTCCTGCAATTATCAGATGATATGGGATGCTGTGTGCACTTAACTGTGCTCACAAACCATTCACGTGGCCTCCGTTTCCCATGTGAGTAATGTTATACACTTATACACCATCTCTGTAAATGTATTTGTTTTATTTAAGATCATTTATCTTTTATAATGTTCTTTAGAGCTGTAATGCACTGCAGAATCTGACAGACTGATTAGATGTGGATTGTAGAACAGTCATCTGAAGTGTTGTCAGAGTGTTATGCTAAATTTCATCAATAGTCCTACATTTACTAACACAGACTATATCTGAAGCGTTTGGAAGTAATTTGCGTATTCCACCTGTAGGAAAACATCATAAGAACAACACTTGGCTCAATGTATTACAGCAGTGTTTTTAAAAGACTAAACACTTTATTAATATAGTGTACAGCCAAGCACATGGCCAGAATACAAACGAGTCACATGTGATAGTATTTAGCGTTTTCCCAAAGTAAAGTGTGTCTAAGCCAGGTCTAAGCAAAATGCCAGCAGGTGTGTGTAGCTCCGCTCACTCTCCGCCTCTTTGCCCTTGTTTGGTATCCCGCTGTGAGTGGGATGACGTGTGAACAAAATGGCGACGGTTGGCCACGCCTACTTGTGGCTTCTTTTGCGCTCTTCAGAAACGTATGGGTGACGTCACGGATACTACGTCCATGTATTTTACAGTCTATGGTCACCACACAGCAACTGCTGGCTCGAATCCTGGATAGCATTTCTGTGTGAAGTTTGCATGTTCTTCCAGCGTTCGCGTGGGTTTCCTCCACAGTTCAAATACATGTGACTAAATGACATGTCACAGAATTAATTCAATTAGTGGCCGTAGTGTATGTGACAGTGATTCCCAGTATAGGGTTGCAGCTAAAGGGGCATCAGCTGTGTAAAACAAATGCTGTATAAGTTGGGGGTATAAATAAAGGAACTAAGCTGAAGGGAAAAAAAGGAATGAACGTAAAGATACATGTAGTGGAGTACTGGAGTTTGCTGTCAATATGGCTGTATTGATTTGTCTTTGAAACAACTGTTAAAATGAAAATGACATTTGAAAATGTTTTTTAAAACCCATTACTTTTGCTGCGTAATAAAGAAAATAAAATAAGGTTTAGTTATAAACTTAAATAAACTATAACAGAATAATAATAGTAAACAAAATAAACAAGCAAAAAAAGAACGTATAACACAAATAAGCACATAAAAAGGTTTGTAGAGCAGAAAAAAAAATGATTGCGGAATCCTTGCACGTTTTTTGTTTGGAAAACAAATCTGACGTTTTGAACAATACTCTTGTTTCTGTGTAAGACTTTGGCCACAGAGCCATACAATAACTATTATGGGATTGCGCTGTGATTTAGAGCAGATTACTTCTGATAGCTGCTTGAGCCCTGTGTGCTAGATGAATATGCCAGATGGATGTTGGGATTGGATGCCAGGCTGCAAGACATCACAGTGGATTATGAACGCATATTGCTGTAACCTCTCACTGGAAATCGGAGGTAGCGGACAAACATCTCGTGAGACATGGTGATGTTAAGAGTAAAACAGAGGATAACAAAGTACTAAGAAACATGAGTGCAAGAAACATGATGAACAATCACTCTCTGGTGTTTTTCTTTGGAAGTAAGCGAGATACCAGAGATATCTGAGTGAGTGACCATTTTCCACATTTCTAGCCGAGCGGAAACCGTTGCTAGAGTTTTATTGAGGCCTTAGGGTATGGGTCACTGTGTCAGTGGAATCTCATTGTCACTTATTACTGTGGGTGCCAATAAAGGAAAGTGATGCTATCAGTTTAGATTTAAGCCTTCCTGTGATAGAGCGAGTAAATGAGCTTCACAGAAACTTTATTTGTAGTGCATTTAAGAAGCCTGACGTCCTCAAGTTTACACTACCTGAAAAAAGTCTTGTTGCTTATCCAAGTTTTAGGAACAACAAATAATAACTTGACTTCTAGTTGATCACATGGTATCAGAAGTGGCTTAAATGAATGGCAAAGACCTCTAGATTAGGCTTATTTTACAAAAATAAAATATGATCATGCCTTGATTATTTAAATAGGTCAGAAAGTTCCGACTTGGACAATAGTCTTACCATTTAACAGAAATAATTATATTATTATTAAAATAATTATGATTGCCATGAGCCTGGAGGACTGCATCCATACATCCCTGAAATGACTCAAATAACTTATTTATAAAGTCATCTGGAATGGCAAATAAAGCATTCTTGCAGGTCTTCCATGCTGCGTCCCAATTCGCGTACTTATACTACGCCCTAAAAGTATGTACTTTTTTTGTGAAGGAAATTTTTGTACTTTTGAGAGTGCAATTGAAGAGTATGCAAGCTATGGGACAGACTACATCCTCTTTAACAGATCGTTGTGTTACTTAGTTATGCCACTGTCAATCATCCACACACCATTCACATTTCTGTCGTATTTAATTTCCTACCTTATTGGAGAAGCAACAGCAGGTTAATCTCCCATTCACAAGTCTTTCATGCAGAGAAATCTCAGGTCTTCTGATAATTCTGCATTCAGACGTTCAGACATCCAAACGTGTTTTTATACAAGTCCAGTAATATTGTTGCAGATCAAATATAACACAGATAGTGTGATTTAAATATTTTCCAGTGGGCTAGATATTGACTAACAGTCATTCAAACATCTATACCGAAGCCTCTCTACTTGACAGCTGGTCTCTCGCGTCCATCATGTTTGTAGTTAATTTACACTTTTCTCACGCGTTTGTAGTTCTGATCAAATTCCTGTCTAATGCGCAATGTATTGTGGGCAATATCAGGGGTAAGAGTATGGACGCTTCCACACTTTATTTTTTTACCGGAAATAGCAAACCATCCGGGCACCTCTGGCATAGTCTTTTCAACATACTATGGTTTGGGACATACTAATCATATTTTCAAATACTATTTAGTACGGATTGTATGCGGACTGGGACGCAGCACCAAAGTTAATCAAGATTCTTTGGATTCATCTTCAGTGCCTCCTCTATCATTCATGCTCAATCATGTGCATGCCTGGTGACTGGGCTAGCCAATCATGGAGCAACTTGACCTTCTTTGCTTTCAGGAACTTTGATATGGAGGCTGAAGTATGAGAATAAGCGCTATCCTGCTGAAGAGTTTGCCCACATTTAAAGGCTTAACT